GAGCGCTGCCTGCCGAGGAGCTGCGGGAAGCTGAGCGGGCTCCGTCCGCGCCAACCTGGGATCAGTCAGCTTTTTAAGGTACTCGGTGACAGTCTGAAAGTGCTCCGAAAGAGAAAACATGGTGAGAGAGCTAGTAAGGCATAATCTTCACTGGTGTTTTAATTTGTAAATACCGATGATTTTGTTTCTGCATTTTTTTGATCTAAGTTACACTTTTAATTTTTTCTGAAGGTGCCAAATCCCGTTGACCTTTTTTATAACTCTCTTTGTAAAGTTTTAAATCATAGGAGAAAAAAAAATGTCGAGTAGGTAACTTCAGCAAAGGGATTTAATGAAAATGTGGCTTTTTTGCAAGCTTTGGTAGAGCGCCTTGTGACAGTGAGGTTAAAAGACAAAACAAAACGACGGGAATTATTTTGAAGTTTAAGTCAAGCTGTAAGGAACAGATCCTCACTCAAGTATTGAAAAAAGTTTGAAAAGCAGGAATACAAATTGACGATAAAAGCAATATATAATGCAAGGAAGAAACCTGCAGTTGGTAGAGTATTTGGGGGTAGTGGGGGGAGGGAGATGCCATCAAAATAGCAGATGCTGTTGCACAAAAGTAGCCTAGTAGGATTAATTACTAGTAGCTTCATGGTAAATGCATCAGGATAAGCCATACTGGATTGCAGTGTTTTGTTTCTGTAGGGTGTTCTAAAGACTGGGTTTTTTCCATGTTTCTTTTTTGACTGCACAGCAACAACTCTCAGTCACATGCATGCAGCCGTTAACTGTGTAGGCTTGGTTCTTCCACCCTCACTTTTCGTTCCGCTCATCCTGTCACTGGATATACAAACAAGGACAACAGGCTTAAGGCAGTTACAAATAGGAAAACATTTTTAAAATGCAAGCAGGGAGTTCTTAGATATTATCAAAATGCCTTTTTCAGACTGTGCCCAGCAGGCTGGGCACTTTGGAAAGCCCAAATATTTTGAGAAAACACTGAACAATTTGACAGGTGTAACCAGCTTGTGATCTAGTAAACGGCGAATGTTTCTTTCCAATACAGGGGCTTGTTTTTCTTAACTTCTTTTAAATGGCAGTTGATTGGCTTTTCTTAAATATCTAAAAGAAAGGGGTGAAGGGTGGGGGGTGGGTGGAGATACTGGGTTTATGATAATACTGGGAGTCTGACCACTATAGTCTCTTTTTTTGTACTTTAAGTCATGTTTTTTGGAACGCTACTGATAGAACTATTAAGAGTTGGATTTTTTCCTTAAAGTAAAAGTAAGTTATTGCTGCAACACCCGTCTCCTAAAGCTGACAGAAATATGCAGACCCCAGGGCACGGCCCGTGCTCTGATCAGGCAGTCCAGAAGGATGCCATCTGCCCACCCACAGCAGCCCCATACGTGGATGGACGTCAGGCTTGAGCATCCAAGATCGTTCAGAAGCGTACCAAATAATACACATAAGGGGCTGGTTTCCACCACACACTCTCTGCAGATTTCTGTCAGCTCTGGACTTGCCTACATAACCTCTTATGCTTTAATACATAACTGCGTTGGATGTGAAACTTCTAGTAACTGTGTAGTCACTGTGTTCTATATAACATTTTACACTGCTGTGGTTGCTAACCTTTTTTATTTTGTTATGGCTTAAAAGCAAAAAGCAAAAAAAAAGGCATGATTCTTAGAAAATATTAAACCTTCCTTTCTTTGAAAAACAAGCTCCTTATTACAGAATATAATAAACAGTAGTGCCTGTGGTGTAGCCCACCAATCTTGATACAGTAGCTGATGCATTGTGCAAATGAGGCTTTGAGATGGTTTTTGCATAAACAAAAACTGCTAGGAGATAATCTCAATAGTTAAAAGTGTTATTTAAACCTTTGAAATAAATGGATGTAACTGTACCCGAGTACAGCTTTTCACTTGTTTAGTTCTTAAACGTTAGTATAATCCGTAAAATTTAATATAAAATGTTGCCAAATTCAATGTAGAAAGAATGTGACAAAACACTTTGATAGTTCTATGGTTTGTGTTTTTGCATATTGTAAAAGCAGTGTCACAGCTAAAAAATAAAATGTTTCTAATGGTAAATTATTGTGGTTTAGTTGCTAGTTTGTACTGAGAGTTGACCTCTCCCTGTGCAGTTTTTTGTTCTAAACTGGTATAAATAATTGCTGTAAGTGTGTCTCCCTTCTACATTGTAATGATTGCTTAAGCCTACATTATAAATAAAGAACTGCTGGAAAACTTCTGTATTTCACTTCTTAAAGACTTCCTGCTTCCAGAGCTTTGGATATCAGTGGTGTGCTTCATCAGACTTCTGAAGGTCACACAGGCTCCATCTGTGTGTAACAGAAGCAAGAATTTAAAAAATAAGGAAACAAAATTGCATATATCTGTGCTTCAGTGATGTGCACTGGAAGGGCAGTAGCAGAGCAGAGGGGCAGTGCTAGCGATGGACATTCCCACTAAATGATAACTGATGACATTTCTCTGTCCCTTGCTGCTGTTACCTGGCCAGAAAGCAGAGAACTCATGTTTGTCCATCTGCCTCAGTGCTGCACCACAGTTCCTTTTGTCAGAGGAGGAAAATTGCTGCTGTTGACACAACACTGCCCATGCTTAACAGCCAGAATTTGTGAAGCACAACACCAGTGCCATCTCCCACACGCCCCTGAGCAACTGAGGACTTACTTTTGCTCAGCTTTCTCAAGAACAAAGCTCGAGAGGGAGGACGTTGCTCCTGCTTGGAGCTACCACACAGTGGTCTACAAGTGTGGTTGGCACGTTGGAGAGACAACCCTAATGCTGTGGGAGCACTGCTAAGCAGTAGCCAGAACAGTGGTGTGTTCTCAACACCCTCCTAGCTACCAAAACAAAGCACAGCTCTGTGAGGGCTTCTCTGAGGAAAATGACCTGCGCCCCAGCTAGACTCAAAACGGTCCTGAAGATGTTAAAGTCAAGGTGGTTTGGCTGGAAATACGTCCCGTCTTCAAAAGGATTCTGGTTTTATTGTCCTGTCTCTCTAGAGCTGCAGCTCATGTACTGCTTGGCCAGGTGCTCTCAGTTTGGGTGGCAGCAAATGGTTTTCTGTACCTTGTGTGTGGTGCCACACTGCCTGCTAGCATTGCTTGTGACCCATCCTCGAGCATGTCAGAGCCACGTTCCTCAGCAGCCCACTTGTAACTGGAACACCTCCATAGTTACCTAGGATGGAGTTTATGTGGGGCTGAGCTTTCTCCTGGTGCTCCACAGCAACGTTACCCACGCCAGCAAGAAAGCACGATGGTGTAAAGAAGGCTTCTGTCTTATGTGATGTGATACAGCAAAGGGCCTAATGAGATGGGGAGGAGGGGAAGAACTCTTTACCCCTAAGCAAGCTTAGAAATGCCCTCATTCCAGGAGCAACCAGAGCCCAGATTCATTGCTGTCAGTATATTGAAACTCCAGCTTTAACACCTCACCTGCATCCAGTACCAGACTGTGAGTTGTGGGGCCAATACAAATTGTTTAAGAATTTTCAGCCTCTCCCTCCACCCCCCCTCCCTCCCACCTTCTCTACAGTTGCTCTTGCCCCAGTTAGTCACTTACCATTTGAGCCAGTCCCCCAGTAAATCTGCTTCTCCCACCCCTTCAAACTCAGATTCTTTCTATGGGAACATGAGAGAACATCTGTGGCAAATTTGTTCAAGTCTCACAGTTGAGCTTCTAACTTTTAACTGTGAAAGCCACAAGAGAACTTGTTCTGGTGTCAGTAACCCCACTAAGGCTTCTCCCCAGGCTGCCCAGTGTGCTCTGACACTTTAGGTACACACCGTGGATGTTCAGTCATCTGTTCTGCTCTACCCAGGCTGGAGGTGAAGTGCGAGCATGCTATAGAAGAGTACAACAGAAAATGCCTTCTCTTTAATTGCCTTTATTCTGCATTACTTCAGTTTGTAGTAGCTCTATTAATAGTACTTCTGTAGCACTTATTTTTGTACTGCTTTGAGTGGCATGCGGTCACCGACAGGTCAACTCCCTAGAGACGACGGGCCGCGCTGGCTCGTGACACAGAGCTCCTACATGGGAATTTCACGAGGTCTCGTGACATAGTGCCACCACAGCGGCGGCAGGTGCCCCTCCTTACGAGCCGGGGGCAAGGCTTCAGTCCGCGGGCCATCCGCTGGGGTCTCTTCTTCTAACTGCTTGATCTAGAAGGCGAGACAGAACAGTGCGTTAGCACGCGAGCGCAGGCTGCCCGAGGCGGTTCCGGCGCCAGCCCAAACCGGGCCCGCTGCAGAAGGGAAGAACCAGCAGTGACGCCTGCGCTGCGCAGACAGGTTTCACCTCTCCCAGCATTCAATTCAGTTATCACTGCAGGCCTGAATTACCTAAGTCAGAAGGGATTTTTAGGAGTAATGTGATTTACAAATTAAATGTTACTAAAAAGGTCATTATTTCCAGGTAATTCATTGCTACATTAAACCAACTGAAGTCTCTCCCTGCCTTCAAAGCTGCCAGATAATGACAAATGCAGACCAGCTTCCAGGGCAGTCTGCAGGAGAGCTGTCTCTGCATGCCACCAACGGCCCCTTGATGTTTTCAGTGCACGCTTCTCAAAGCGGCATCAGTGCTGGCTGCCACCCTGTTACTCTGTAAGCGTGCCACGGGACACACAACCTGACTGCTTCTCTACAACTGACTTACAGAACTATTCTAAGAGCACCCAGCTTTTTCCAACTGAATCTCAGTTTAGGATGGCCAGAAGTTAGCCTGGATTCCCAGCTGATGAACACTGTGGTAAATCACTTTCAAAGGTACAACCAGAAAGTGTTCAGTTTCCCAGCAGCAGAAGAGGAACTCTTTAGTCATTAGCCTCCTCTCAACCCATCCTGCAGTTTCTTTTAGCAAAACCACCACAGCAGCCCTGCACTAACTGAAACGCAGTTCAGCTTTAACTTCAAATTCCCTTCACAGCCTTTAAGAAGCTGTGACTCCCAAGATCTCTGTGTGGGTGTTTTAAATCAAGTCAGTGTTCCACTGTTGTCAGAGCCTCAACGAGACCACAGTAGGCATTCAGTAATTTTTCCAAGAACACAGCTAAAAGTCACAGAAGATGCTGGCGTGCTGCCGAGGCCCCACTGGGCAGTGGGCTAGCACTGACCTCCTTATCCCAGCTCTCCCGCTGCAGCTTCTTCCACTGCTCGCGCTTGGCGAAGTAATCGGGGTACATCGCCTTCTCCGAGGGGTGCCAGTAATCCAAGCACCACTCAGGGAGCTGCCAAAGAGAAATACACAAAAATTATAGCTGTAAATTATATCCAATCATACAGAGAACACGCACGCAAAAGAACTAAACACAGCTGCTGAAGCTGTAATTTAAATGGATAAATAACCCAGCAAATGAAGAACTACATAACCCCACCGTCCCAGAGCTACCTGACTGTTGGTCGTCTCAAGGCCCTACATGGCAGGAGTCAGCACTTCTACACTCCAGAGCCACAGGGAGACAGGACAGTGACTTCCTTTTGTCACAGCATCCACACGACAAGTCCCACGTAATCTTGGTTTACTCTAAAATTCTCAAAATAATTCATCCGGTGGAAGGGAAGATCTCATTTCTTCCCTTTCTCCTGCTCCCAAAGGTAGAAGCTAACACAGATCCTTTTCTCCAAGTACTAATTTATTATATTAGACAGAGACAGAACCTCACAGCTCCTTTCTGCTTATCTACAACCACTAAAAAATTAGTGGCTTGAAGACCTTTATAATGGTCTAACCTCAAAGATAACCAGCCAAGAAAAAAAAGCTACATCTAAAAAATTCTGCAGCAGTGTATCACACTGTATGTTAACATTTTAAGGACATGAATGCTTATTAAAACAAACAAAACAAAACCCGGCAAAGCCCCTCGTTGTTAAAAGAAAATTAAGAAGTAACTCCAATGCTGTAATTCACCCAGTGACATTTAGACTTCCAGTTTCCTGCTGTGAATTTCATCCCTGAATAAACCTCCGACTGAACAGAAACAGCAGAGCTGCTAAAAAAAAAAAAAAAAAAAAAAAGAAATCTACATGCACAAAAAAACCCAAACCCAAACAAACCACAAAACCATCAAACAGCCCGAGATCTAAAGACTACATTTTGTAGCAGTACCCACAACGGACAGTCATTGACACATCACCAAGCCAGCTCCTCCTGACAGCCATTTTGCTACAAGACAGTTTTAGCACATCAAACAGGGCAAAGAAAAGAGAACATAAATAATTTTGTATTTTGTATGAAGACTAATCTTGACCAATTATTGCTCAACCAGCCTTTTTTCTGCCTGGATTCTCTCTCACTGTTCTCTCTACTACTGCTAAGGCCTACGGGCCTGGCATAAGCTTAAATCCTTTTCCCTTTCCACCCATGTTCTTTTTTTTGCCTCTTATAATTCCACATCAGATCCTTCCTTTCACATGGCTTCTGATCCATAAAGATCTGATCAGATCAATTCTTGTGTCAGCACCTGCTTCAAATTCAGGAAAAAGAGTGTGCACACACTTGCTAGATTAGAATTACCTCCCTGTAATGCATAAGAAGAGCTGATGCCAAGAAAGCCAAAACCCTGTTTTCCTATGAAACCAGTTTCTTAACTGCTAAATAGAACAATCTTGGACGAAAAAAATCTTCTAGAAGTGCTTTCAATTTTAAAAATAGGGCTTCTAATGTTAGGCATCCTGGCTATCACAGAGTGACACTGACACAAGTAAGTATCTGGCGCTACAGAGTATGAAAGGAAATGATAATTTGTGACCATTACTCAAAATGCTGGGAGAATGATGAGACTGAGTGAAAAGAAGCCCCCAACAGCCAAACACCTGAAAAGAGTGAAGGGGAGGCTGTGAGCAGATGGCCCCGCAAAGGGCAGCTGACCTGCCACTGCACTGTCTGCTCTCACAGCTCAGCTCCAACCCTGTCACTGTGCCTGCCTGACCCAACACGGACCAGCTTCAATTTGGTAAAAGAGCAGGTGATTGTCCCAACAAAAGAAGCTAGCTGTGTTCAGACAGAACAACAAACTCCATTTCCAATGATCAGATGAGGCGAGCTTCTCCCATGCAAGCAGAGATATTCAGCAGCTGCTGTTAGAGAAACGACACTGCCGAGTCAAGCTGCAACCCTATCAAAGTCCACCTAACGCACTCACTTAACATCCACAAAAAGAACTGCAAAATAAGCACGACAAAACGCCATCGACAGGCCACCTTACCTTGTAGCACTCGTATCTCTCATAGGAAGTGCCCCCAGGGGAGTCGGGGAAGATGTAGGGCTGGGGATGCTGGTTAGCCCAGAACTCCTCCTCGCCTGCCTTCAGCAGCTCGGTAGCTTTCACCATATCCTTCACATCCTTGTTCTTATCAAACCGTTCCCTCAGGAGGCAGGCAAAGTACCGGTACTTGTCCCTGCAGGCAGAGGTCAGGCACAGCGCCACTTGCCGCCATCGCCGGCCCGCCTGCGCAGGGACAGGGTTGGGCCGGGCCCTCCACGGAGCTCCTGCTCCGCACCGCCCTTCTCTGCGGCGACCCTTCCTCACCCCTTCAGCCACGCCTGGGGCAAGGGAAGGGGCAAAGCCCCGGCAAAAACCCAACGTCCCGTCTCAGCGAGAAGGACGAACACACACATCCCATACTCCACGCCCCGCTCCCCTGGGAAGCGCTGAAACCCCGCTCCAGGCGGGGCAGCGCTCCCGCTCCCCTCGCCCCTCACCGGTGGATGCACCAGGACTCCAGGTGCCGCAGGGATTTCTTGTAGAGCCGCAGCACCTTCTGCTGGTGCGTCAGGTAGGCCGCCATGGCGCGCCGCG